TACTCATCATCGACTTTAGCGCTTACTTGGCAGGCGAAGCGGATCAGGACTATTTAATGCTCAATCTCTAGTCTGCTCTTTATGATTCACGAACCGCTTTATATCGAGTCTGGTGGGATATTGAATTCGGTGGCAGGATTTTGGTCATCGCCGGTCGACCATAAGAAGGGTAGATAGAGGCAGTTTGAAAGCACTGGTACCGATTTGCACGGCATGATAATAAGTTCCTAGTTCTGCTGCATGAATAAGTACTGTAGATGCTCAGCACTCAGCGGAAGTGAGGGAGGATCACAATTTGAATCAAACTACTATCCTCGGATGTCGGCCCGTTGTCTATGATTAGGTAGACGGTTTTAGACCTTGAACTTATCCGATCATCAAGGGTGGACAAAATGTTACTCGGGATGGATGAGGATGGCCCAAGAAAGAACGTTGAGGGATGTTGTAGAACAATTTGAGAACACTTGTTTGCTCAGCGGTTCCAAAAAGGGAAGTACATTTGACGTGGGAGCGTCCAGTCTAGACGTCATTTTCGGCGTGGCTTCTAACGGCGTGACGTCAAGTCTAGGTTTAATATATTCCCAGGACGGTCAAAGCTAGAAATATCAGGTGTTCAGATACAGAACAAAAACCCGGTGCAATTAATTATATAATTATCATCGGATCAGTACGAAGTAATTTCAGCGAATAAATCAGAACATTCAATTCGGATCTATTAGACTGAAAGTGTATTCTGAATGGCAGAGATTGAGGGTGAAAAGAAATATTCCCCTCCGCGTGAAACGACAAAATCTGGACAGCTATGAGCTTAAATCTGTATGTATTTGAGAGTGCTAACCTTCATTGATTGTAATAGTTCTCGTTTGATTGTTGGGGTCAAGGCCAGCAGGAGACCTAGGTCCATCATTTGGTGCAACTCCGATAATCGGGTCTTCGCCCTATATTTTCCGACATCAAGGACATGCAATTATACGTAGAGAATGTAAACTTACAACACTGTTGTAATTTGCAATGAATTGTTGATTGGGTGCATCAGAAAGGAGAACTTGTGTATGTAAAGTTATTTTACACTTACCCGCCTGTGTTTTAGATAAATCAATCAGTTGGAAGCAACAGTACGTGGAGCATAAGGCAGCTACTCACTTATGTGGAAGCTGAAGAAAAAAAATATAGCCAGCTCATCGACAATACACCTTGCTAGATGATGCAATGCTACTCACCTGTTGTTGTTTGCCCAAGAGTGCTGAAGGAATGCAAAGCCTTGCTCAATGTTCGATTGATATGCAACTACAACCACTCGGTTATTACTTTACGCAAGATTCAATTAATCAGTATATCCTCTTACCAAAAGCTAGACCTCGCTCAAGACTAGGATCAGTGCTAGAGGAATTGGAAGCATTTTCGGCATCAGTAACTAAACAAGTGTGTCATCTATCGACATATCCTAATGAAAGAATATTAAATACCTTCAGGTCCATAAGGAATTCCACCACGAATAATGTGTTGCTTGAATGAGGTCGCTATGTCTGCACGTGGGTTGGTCTTCCGGATGTGTGCGGAGAAGGGACAGTAGGACTGGTTTGTTTTAAAGTCAAAGTTGGGATCATCAGGATGCGTAAAGTTGAAAACGTTGTTCCGGTTATGATCCGCTCCTAGGACAGGATCATCCTTGAGAGGTGTGAGGTCAATTGGAGCACCCTGTAATAAGGCAGTTAATAAAAGAATATTAGGTGACATAGGCATTGCGTGGTATTTACACTTTTCCAACGTCCCATCATTCGAGCACCGAGGAGCTGGGCATTCTCACTGGCACTGAGACCGGGTTCAGAAAGAGCATTGTCGACTAAGAACTTGTTGAACTCTGGGACGCGTTGCTGAAGTTGACGGAAGGCAAGGAACGAGCCATCTTTGGCCCAATCTGGACGTTCTAGTACTGTATCTCCCTCCTCCCCGAGAAGGATGATACCAGGATCTACAATTGTCTGGCCAGGAAGAGCCGGTACTACGAAACCGCGGAGGGAGGGATTGCTAACTCCATCTAAGAACCCAAAATCTATAGAGAATAGATCTTATAATTTGATCTTAAAGGAAATTAAGACAACTTACGCTCATGTCCCTGTTCATCTCCAGGCCTGGCCTGACCCTGGATCCTGTAGACTTCAGAGATGGAACCATTGGAGATGGTCTGAATCTGCGACAGCTTGGCATTCACACTGTCTATCGTGTCCGACTCGATCAGAAAGACACCATGAACGTTGTTGCTGGCGAAAGCGGGCTCCCAATTACTCGTTTGATCTCCGAGAAATGCAGCATTCGACAATTGTCCATTTGTGAAATCTGCATCATTCAGGTTATCCTGAATTCCTAGTGCATTCAAACCTTTTTGAGAAAAGGCAATGTTGACGATCGTGGCAGGAGGGTCAGGAGCATCTGGAAGTATCTGAATGATTGGGGTAATCAGAGGCAGGATCTCTGATCCAAGCTGAGACTTGAATGCCGCAGGATCATCGACACTGAAGAAAAAGAATAACTCTTTCATTTTCCTCATACCAGTCCTTTGTGTTTATCCTGTTGAATATAATCAAGTACAGGCACAGGAGATGAATTGACCTACAGAATGTCGCCTTGGATGTTGCTCAGATTGAGCCCGGAAGCAGCTACTTGATTGACAGAAGGTAGCGGTGGAAAGCCAGGAGGATCTAATGGAGTATCTACTCAGCATACAAATTGAGAATGTAGTTGAATTTGCTCACTAATAAGAACAGAGTTGGAACCTCGCGATTTCAAGGCAGAAGACTCTAGGTTTGGAAAGGCGGACACTGTCCATGTCAAGGTCGCAAGCAGAGAGGCTTGTATGAGTTTCATTTCTAGCAGAGGACCACGATGGAACTAGAGAGTGGAACGCAGAACCTGGTATGCTTGTTGTCAGTCTTTTATAACTTGCAAAATCGTGAGTGAGGGCCCCATTTCATCGGTGCATTACGATACAAAACAGGAAGAACCGAATGAGAATAGGAAGGTCGTTGAAACATGTGCTGAAGTTGAACTTCGGGCTGGCACCAACAGAACTGCACCGGAATGATTGGTAGAGCTCAGGCACATTATTTGAAAACCATATAGACTCGAAAAAAGTTTCGTATAAGGACCATGGCAATTTTTCGTACTTATGCATTTTCCGGAATCCAAAGTGGTCTAGCAGGCTGAACTCTACAAGACAACCCTGCGGGACGGGGTTCCTGAATAATCGCAAGTGAGTAATGTTTCCTGTTGGCACGGAAGAATTTGTGTATACAGCTGTGAAAGGTAAAAGTACATTGGAGTGCACAGGGTATTCTGCGAGTATGAAGAAAGACGAGACACATACGCTGCAGCTTTCAGTATGCTTTGGTGCATATTGAACACGGTCACAGTATATTAGAACATAACCAGAAGTAAGAAGTGGCGCATTCAGTATTGGAAGGCACAAGATTTTTCGAGCATTTCTTGCGCTGCACTTGGGTCGTAACTCCGGATGAGTGAACCGCCTATACTTGGGTTGGCGCCGGGCTTGCCGGGTTGTCGCCTCATCGATATCAGCGCCTTGGGATTTTTAGCCTCTGTCCGCTCGAATGCTGTAGTAAAAAGCATACGGACCTTACAGTGACTTAGTGTAGCCAAATTTTGAGCTTGAATGCTTTCCACCGGGGAATGCGTACACATTTAGTCTTGGCTCGGCCTCTATTCAGTCTTTTGATGCCTGAACGGTATTTTTTGTCATTACCGGTGGAATATCTTGGCTACAAAGAGGGGTTTTAGTAGAGAGGGAGAGGTATCGGTACCGACTTGCTCGGCCTAATTTTAGGTTTCCGGTTCTGCTGTGCAGGTCGAGAGGAGGAAGGAACAACATACTCGGCCCGATTTCCATTCCCAGGGTGGTCAAAGCCGAATATTTCTGCCAAGGAAATGATTCACCATGGATTTGTCATAAATGAATATTCCTCCCCTCTTACATTGTTTACCAACCAGAGCTTCATCTCTGAGGGGCTCTTAGCCTCTTATTGTGATACTTACTTGCAAGTGCATACATGCCAGGCAGTAAGGGTCAGAACAGGAGCACAAACAGATAAAAAATTGTACAGGAACTGTTCCGACTCCCGAGTGGATTGATGCCGAATCTGGCCAGTTCTATCAATAATAGAGAGAATAGACTGCGGACCGAAGAACACGGTCGGTTGTGAGTAGGAAGAGTAGCATGGGATTAATACCAATAAGAACTTCGAGTTTGAAACGAGAAAAAAAGGGAGCGGAAGAGGAGATAGCAACATCGAGAGGAGGAACAAAGCATTGAAGAGTAGGAACAATAAAAATGCGGAAAGATCAGCGATGCGGAAAGAAATGTTTGCGCTGGGGATGAATTCACTCTATCGGAAAAATCCTCTGCTGAACCATAACAGGATAAGAGTGAGACTTAGAGTGCTACTAAGGTACACGAGAATGTGAGTAAGTAGTTGTAGGGCGAATTTAGAAGAGTTCTAGTTGGAGGAAAGTGCGCATTAGTCGACTCGGTCCCGGAGCCATCGACTCCCCTACCCTTTGCTGGTCAATTTTACAAAAACCTATAACATCAAACTGGAAACTCAAACCAGACCGTCAGGTACCCGTTGTCTCAGATTTTCAGTCTTGGCTGAGCTAGTCTTTGGATGAACCTTAAAGAGCGGCTTCGCATAGACTCCGTTGTTCCGTTGTTCCATTGGAAACAGTCATTGATACGTTTTCACCTTGTAATCAAGTTGTGATAGTCACCGGTCATGGAAAGAAGATGTCGAGAGCACCGGTACTGACTCGTGCCGTGTTATGAAGCCCAGCGAAAGCGAGGGCAAAGAAGAACTCAGAAGGAGCACAGTGTACTTGAATATGTATATCTGGCAAGGGTGGTGTCTAGAAATATGTTTCTAGTATGGTCAAGGTTGGACACACCTAACCAAAAAACAAAAAAAAAAAACTGAGTCAAGCGAAATCATTGGTTCGACCCGGTCTCGAACCGGGGACCTCCTGTGATACAATGCAATTCCAAAAGCATGTAAGACAGACGTGATAACCCCTACACCACCGAACCAATTACTCAAAGTCCCTGCCTTATTGCCTTCGTCCAGCATCACGGTAAACCCAGCTAAACAGAAAAAAATCCCATATTATTATTAACAACGCCCATCATAAGCAATGCATTCCATCGCTATAATACATTGACATACAACCCTGGAACTAAAATCCAGGTATCCATTCCACCTTAAAAGCTAAATCCACCGTCGTAAATAAAACCACCAACACTAACACCAACACCAACGTCTAAATATTAACATTATTGATCCTCCACATTCGAAACTACCACAAACTCCAGCTGAGATTCATTCGAAGATGAAGAGGACTGCGCAGATAACGCCCATTTACCCTATCAGTCAAAAAATAGGAGGTCAGCACTCGGTAAAGATATAAAGTAGGAACAGAAGGAAACATCGCAAGTTAAAACTCACCGTATACAAAACCCCACCAACCCCAATCGTCCTTAACACCGAGTCTTCAGATCGAAGCATGAGCGAACGAGCGTCCGCGAGGGTAAACCTACCTCCAAGGTCCTCCACATCTCCGGACCCCGAATGGACCCAAGAATCTGGAGACGCAGATACCCCGCTGGCAGTCGCACCACCGCCAGTGCCAGTACCGGTACCAGCGGGAGACGCAGTCAACCCAGCTCGGTGTGCATAGCCACGATCTTCACCTCTCGACGACATCGGTATCGAGTCGAATTTGTTGCTGATCACGTTGGGGAAATAACTTCTCGAGCTCGAACTCGGATATTCACCATGACCTTCCTCCTCCTCCTCAGAGTCAGGGAACTCATCGATATCTGAATCCAGGTCCGAATCCTCATCAAGGTCGAGCGGGAGAGATGGTCTTGGCCCTGACAATGAAGATTCCGGTGAACCCTCGAATGTAGGTAACCACTGTATGTTCAACTTGAGCGTACGGAGATTTCGCGCGGAGCGGATCGCATGGTGAATAGCAGGCTAGCAACAGGGCGGGAGAGTCGAAAGGCGAAAGAGGGAGAGGGAAAGGACAAAAGTCAGTCTATGAAGATCGGCAATGGGGTATAAACACAAATACAGCTCACCACGCCCTCGACGCCAACCGCACATTCCAACACCTCCAACATCGGGAAAGAAACACATACACATTCGACATCGCCCATCATCATCACTCCCGCTTCGGCCGCTTCGAATCGCTTGAGAGAGGAAGAATGGATACGGGCCAGATCGAGAATAAAGGCCCGAGGGATAAGAGTTTCACCGAGGTCCCGGAAAGAAAGCGTGTTACGGAAGGAGTCCGCAGAAGGTACATAAGTGTATTGCATGGATTTGGTTGAGGGAAGGGATGCGAAGGCATGAGGGGAGTAGCGATCCGGAGAGGCGGGGGAGGATCGGGAAGATGACGAGTATGACCTTGCTGTAGAGGAGGACGGCGACATCGGAAGTGAAAACGAGAATGCGTGTAATTTGAAAGCCTCCAATCCCTCCCTCTTCACCAGCTGCCTAATCCAATCATACATCTTGATACCCTCCGCTCTCGAATTTGTCCGAACAGTTAAAGTTTTTAAACTGGGCATCACGCTCATCTCTAGCCGGGCCACGTCCCTAGCTGGGAGTCTGGTTTGAGATGGGAGATATTCCACGTCGAGGCTCTCGAGATTCGGCAAATAGGTGAGGAAGATGAGTATGTTGGACGACGGGACGCCCTTGAGTCGTAGGCTGCGTAAACGAGGTAGATGGGATATCACGGTTTCGAGGATTGTAGGAGGAACCCCGGCGCATCTCCCTAACTCCAATTCCTCCAAAGTCGAACCGAGGACTTTGGACCAACCACCTTGTAGAACTCGCGGAGGACCGTCCATAGACCAGATAGATATCCGTGTTAGTCCGGAGAGTGAGCCTAGAGAGTCCCAGATGGTGGATCCGAGGTCGGAATGAGTTCGTAGGGTAAGATGACGAAGAGGAAAGCCAGAATGAGAGGGACCATTCCCTTGTCGACCTCGAACGAGGTCAATAAATCTCATGAGAAAGGTTCCTGGAATCACCTGCATATTCGTCTCCCGTTCCCGTCCTCTGTCATTCGTACCCATTCCCAGTCCGCCTCTGCCACCAAAAGCACCCATCCCAGGCCCGTACATAGTATCATCGATCCAGGTAAACGACAAGAGATTCCTGCATAACGCCAACGCATTCAATGCATCATCTGAGATGGAGGAATATTTGGCGTTGGAGAAGGCCTTGATACGATGAACAGCACCGGTTTCGGTTACATGTCTGACGTGTTTGGCAAGATGTGGATTGGAGAGAAGGGTTGTAGCAGGATGGTAAAGGATTATATTTGAGTTTGAGTCGGTGCGGTTAGAATCCGAATTGTTGTTGTTGACTCGAGGCCGGGGGCTCCCATCTACCCTAGAGTCCAAGCTATCACCTCGCGAGTTTCTCCCATCCAGCTTGATAATCCTGGAATCTAGCGTCCGATACAACAGAGGCGTAGAAACCTGGTTGAACGAGCGGCTCACGAGGCAGCATGCGTGCCAATCAGCACGATCAGTGAGGAAGGAAAGGATAGGGTCGATAAGGTCATAGGGAAGATTGAAGGGTGGTTCAGAATTAACCTGTCGCTCCGAGTGGAGGTTACGAGTAGACCCGGGTTGCGAGTGCTCGCATAGAGGTTGAGTAGAAATATCGATTGCAGTTAAGCTTAAAGACTTCAACGCAGATGTAGATTTATCGTCCATTCAACACGTAGCCCACTCCCATGAAATGATTGCACAACTTTTTGTGGGATTGCAGGGTAGATGGACGTAGCGGTCAGACTCCGAAGCTGAGTCACGATTCGCGGTCCCCTTAAGCGCGCGCTAAATGTGGAATGGAGAAGGTCGGATAAGATAGGCCGATACGGCTAAGGGAGAGATTTGATAGAATGGAACAGAGAGATTGACTCACATGACCAATGACAGTTCCGAAGAGAGCGAGGCCTTCCAGCTTTCCATACTGTGAGGCTCAATAGAAATTTCGGATCAAATATTAATACCAACAAATACCAGTAAGCAACTCGAGCTAGCGGCTAGGGCCCTGGCGGCCAATATGAGTTTACCACAGCGAAATGAGTTCAGACAGAGGAGAAGAGAAAAGCAATTCCTCCTTGCCATCCTTCTTCCACCTGTGCAATGTCGACTTTCACAAATGATCACCACTCCAACGAAAATCTTCCAGGAAATCGACTGGAAGCAGTAGTTGAGGTTAGTATATCGGCTGTGCCTCCAGAAGTTATGTAAGCTGGTTTCTCTCCCAGGCTCAGCTGTCCTCCTTGTCTATACGGTTGAGCGACTTGGGGAGAAAGAAACCCTTTTGCGGGCACTCGTTGACGCAGCTCAATAATGGATTAAAGGACTCCCTCAACCTACTGAAATCTGAATACCTTGGTGCTCCTGGATCTCGTCAAGAACACTTCCTGCCACTGTTTACCTATTTCGAGACGTATGCTGTTATGATGGATTCTTACTCTTTCTTCCACTTACAGGAGACTCAATAGATCTCTCGCTCGTTGTGAAGAATTGGTTGAGCGTTTGAATAAACGGAATGTGGTTCTAGCCATCGTCTATTTTGTACACGATTCCAAAATCATCAAGAATTGTAATGAAGAGGTGAAGCAAAAGGGATTAGAATTACGGGTGAGTGAATCGAATACTGTAAGTAGTCGTAGACTAATATCAATCATCATAGGGAAGAATCTCTCGCCTTAAGGAACATTGGCCCAATGATACCTGTTCACCTCAAGCCAGCCGATTGCCATCGGGTTCGATAGGTCGAGACCATTCCCAATTCGAGTCTTCATCAAGTTCGGACCCACCTCATACTTCGACACCATCATCCAGCCGATCTCTAATGATGACCGGTCCTCAAACTTTGTCCAATGCGAGCGTACGCAGCATTCAGACATCCCAATTTAACAGCGCCGCAAACAATATGCACAACACGACTCACAATTATCCTCCTAGTGTTGTCAATAATGGGGGTTCAGTCGTGTTTAATTTTTATCATGGCCACGGACATGGTCAGTCTCATCACATCGTTTCTATACTCTGATATTAATGGTCAAACAGCGTAGCAGGGCAGATATCCATGTAAAACCAATTTTAATGGTGGAGTCGTATGTTGTTGGTATTCGTTCATCGGAGGTTGCTGCATCTTTCATTTGATATGGTTTCTCGATTTTACTTATATTTCTGCTTTGTATGGCTGTGAAAGAAAGCACTTGTACATGTTACCTACCCATTTCTGAATTCTTTTGACTCTCTTTCCTATTTGCTTCGCTCTACACTTCATCTCCAAGAACGCTAGAAACTGAAGTGGACATGACAGATAAAGTGAGATGGTTAGGGTGAAAGGGAAAAACATTGCCAGTATAGTGTCGCTGCCATTGTTCGCTGAATCAGTTAGCCACCCAGGAAACTCAGAATGCAGGTACAATGTCAGACGGCTTTGAAATCTGCGTGGCCGAATGTTTTAGAAGACTTCAGATGTGGATGAGGCTGATAACCCAACTCCAGGAACATAGACAGAACTGCGGGTATCCTGTTATGAACACGTACAACTTTTACCTCATGCCAAAACGGGTAACGCACACAAAAGTTAGTGTATAAGGTGAGGTCCAATGAAACACCGATCTTTGGGCAAATCAGGCTCAGATAGAAGTCATTTAAACATGAGGACACAGGGCGCAAAAAAGGAATCAAAAAACAGACACGGAATCCCTCGCTGGTACCAAACAGGTGATTTTTGGGATGTGTGGATTTTTGGTGGAATTAGTGTATGTTGGGAGGCGATGGCTCCGGAAAGCTACCTGAAGAGACCGGGATAAGTTCCTTCAGAAATCTTTGACTCCTCAAAGGAAGATCAAGGTGAGGTACTGTATGTGGTGTCTCGGATTTTGCCACAGTTATGGAAATGTAGAGCATCAAATTTGTCAAAGTTTTGTTCGCATTAAGATCGGCGCTCAGTGAACCAATCAAGCGAGAGAGACCTAAGG